TGTGATTTGAGGCTCCCTGGTGCTGGAAGGGAAAACCTCCGCAGGGGTTGCCTGTCTGCAATAATTGTCTGCACCCGAGGTGCAAAACAGAACCGTGATCAGTGTTGTGGCTACAGCCTGGCATTTGATTAAAACCAGGCGATTTTTCAGGGCTGCTTCGTCCTTGGGTTGGCCACAAGGTGTCAGTCCGCAGTCGACTTTTCGATTTGAGGCTCCCTGGTGCTGGAAGGGAAAACCTCCGCAGGGGTTGCCTGTCTGCAATAATTGTCTGCACCCGAGGTGCAAAACAGAACCGTGATCAGTGTTGTGGCTACAGCCTGGCATTTGATTAAAACCAGGCGATTTTTCAGGGCTGCTTCGTCCTTGGGTTGGCCACAAGGTGTCAGTCCGCAGTCGACTTTTCAATCTCCAAAAGGGGAACGGGGTGGACCGTAGATTCCTCGAGGTCCCTGCTGTCCTGCCGAGCAGGGAGAGCGTCCTCCGCAGGCTGGGCCGGCGCTTTCGGAGTGGGGTTGCTTTACCCCGGTGGCCCTTTGCAATTCACACAGGGCCGGCCGGGGGGATCCCGCTCGCGTGCCGCCGCGGCCACGGAACTACGGATACGCAGCCAGAGGCCACAGTCCTGGGGCGAGTGAACTCCGAAACCATCCCAGGGATGTCGCTGCGGGACGGGCGCCAGGGATGGGAATGCGCTGAGCGCCTTGTGAGTCGGCTGTTCCCGTGGGCGTGCCCAGTCCAGCCGCCGGCTCTCAAAGGGAAGGGTGGCACGCGCTGTGCAAGGTGAGGGAGGGCATCGCGCCCTAGCACACGGAGACGTCACGTCTGTGCGGGAATTGGGGAGCCCTGATCCCGAGTGCTGATGCTTGGAGCAGGCCGAGCGGTAGGAGACCTGGGCCTGGGCAGTTCTGGGAGGGGAGGGTTGCGGGGAATTTCCTAAATGTCATCTAGTGGGGGGGGGGGCTCTCCCCAGGCCTCAGCCTGGCTGCTGGGGCCCTTTGAGGGGCTGAGGTGTGAGCTGTGTGCTGTTACCTCCACCCCCCCTTGTGGCTCCCTGCAGCCCCCCTGGGCCCTTCCCCTAGGGAGGGGAAAGACAGATTCCCTCTGATAGCTCTGCCCCACAGGGGGCGGGGTTACGGGACTCCTCCCACAGGGGGCGGGGTTACATGCTTCCTCTTTGTTTATTTTAAAGGGACTTTCCTCCTGTTTCCTGCCCATCTCCCAGGGTGGCCGGGAGCCTGTATGAGATCCAGCAGCCTCCCTCTCACCCCCTGTCCTGGTGGCGGCTGCAAGCCAGGGAGCTGGCTGGGGTTATCTAGAAATATTGGGCACGTGGGACGTTTTGCCCAGGGATTCACTTTGATTTTTTGCCCCCAAACTTTTCTGTTTTTTTAATAAAATCCCTGCTGACCGGCTGCTGGTTTGGGGGTTCATCGCTCCCCATGCCCTAATAGGGCCGGCCTGGCTTCTGGTGCCCTACGCAGTCCCCCACCCCCGGCCGGGGAGCGGGGCAGCAATTCTGCAGAGTGGAAGGGCTGTGGGGGCAGGAGCAGGGCATGGTGATTTCCCGTGGCTCTGGCACTGCCAGGGCAGGAGGTGCTGGGTTCTAACCCCGATGGCATGGCAATGCCATTTGGTGCCAGCTCCAGAGGCATTTCCTGCCTAGGCTGAGTACTTTCCAGCCTTCCCCATTTTAGGGGCCAGTAAAAGATTTACCAGCCTCCCAGCCAAGTTGCTCTGCCACACCCGGCACACTTGAAATGCAGCCTTGTTAGTCAAGGGAGACTTGTGTGCTTGAGACTACATATCCCAGCATGCCATGCGCTATGCTAATCCGAGCAGTGCATGCTGGGGCTTGTAGTCTGACTGCTGGCCTGCTATTCGGGGCAGCTGGGAAGATACTGCTAGTGAGCATCCTGGGCCCAGCGGTGCCTGCTGATGTCTCAGCATGCAGGGCCAGGTGTGGTGCAGAGCTCTCCCTGCTGGGCCATGGCTGACAAGGGGCAAATGGTTAACTTTAGCCACCTTAGCTCTCCTAGGGAGCCGCAGTCCCTGTCTGAAGAGGGTAAGGGCAGGAGCTTCCGTGAGACGCTCGCTTGGCTTGATCCAACCGCCGAGTCTCCCAGGTTCCCCTGACTCCAGCAGCTGGGGCTTAGTGACAACTGGGGACCTTCCCGTGGCCGGGAGAGCCCAGGTGCCATCCGAGAGCGCAGGCGTGCGGCCGGGGGAGGAGGGACGGGAAGGAGAGAAGCAGGGCGGGTGGGGGCAGCTGCCTGCACCCCTCGTTCTCGCCCAGTAGCTTGGCCCCACGGCCCTTCCCCCGCATCTCTTCCTGCTCTTGGTGAGTAACAGCCCCCGTCACTGCCCTGAGCCCAGCACCGGGAAAGCAGAGCAGCGCGGCCGCGCACCACCTCCCCCGGCTGCAGCAGGGCCACAGTGCCCGGGGCGGAGGCTGGCACAGCAGGCGGCAGAGCTCCGGGCCGATCACACGCCGACATCCACCCCCCGTCCCTTGGGGCGGGCGCAGAGATGCCTCCCACCAGGCGCCCGCCCGCCCAGCACCCCGTAACGCTGCCGGGGGCCGTGCGGCGTGGGTCAGCGCCAGGCCCCGGGGGCCCGTCCGGCTCGCGCTCCGCCCTGGCCGCCTCTCCCCTCGCCTGGGTGTTCTGCCCATCAGACCGGCTGGGGCCAGCCGCCTCTAATCCCGCACTAATCGTTTCCAGCCGGGGACTGTGCTATGCCCGGCTCGCCCCCGGAAGGGAGCCGCTGCAGCACACGGTGCCCCCGCCGGGCGGCACAGAGAGGGGCCGGTCAGGGGACCGCAGATGCTGTTTGGATGCCGGATCTGCAGGTCCCGAGCTATATGCTCCCCATAACATCCCATCTGGGCCCTGCTCCGGCAGATCACTTCCTCCTGGTGGCCCCTTTGCCCACTTGGCCGGTCCGCTAGCTCCAGCCGCACCTGGGCCCATTGGGGTTCAGCCCCTGCCACTCCCCTCGAATATCGGCACCCCCCCAGGGGCTGCCCCACCTCGCTCTGGGGGTGAGAGAGGGGCGGAGCCTGCTTTGAGTTCTGCCATCACTAGCCCCATGGCTGTGCCAGCGATGAAGGTCGCCCCCCCCACGCCCCGGCTCAGGTTGGCATGGGCCCGTGTGAGCTGCCACGGCAGGGTTTCTTCTGCACCACTGGAGGCGGAGCCCAGATGCCGGGGCGATGGGCAGCTGCAAGCAGCCCACAGCCAGCCAGGCCCAGCCGGGGTCTGATCCCGCAGCCCAGAATTCCCTGAAGTGGGTGTGGCACTGACCGTCCATCAGCTCCACCCTGAACCCCCCCCCCCGAAGTCTCTCTGGCCGCTTCTCACAGGGCGTGTGTGTGTGGACGTTCCCTGCCCCGCTCTGGGTTCCTGTCCCTGGAGCAACACGTCCCGGGTCTCGCAGGGCCCAGGCCCTAGCCAGGACGCGGGGCGTCTGCGCCAGCAGCTGAAGGGTTAACGCGCTTGCCTTGCTCCAGGCTGGGACTGCCTGGAGACAGAGGAGGCCTTTGGGGGTGCCAA